CAAAACACAGCGTTACAAATTCAATCCCCAGCAACGGCGCCAAAATTTGACGGTGTCGAGGCCTATTCCTATACGCCAAACTAATGTAGTGAATGTAGGTTCAAGAAAAGCCTTTTTGGGTCAAGTTTAAATTTATAAAAATCACTACTACCACTACTACTAACGTAGCAAGAGTGAATAGGGATCGTCCCAAGGGATTAGAGTGCTACTAGTAATGGAAACAATGTTTAAGGTTAGTAGGTCAAGTGATCAAAGGTAGATTATTTGGTTGATTAAACTACAATTAAGATTAAGCAAGCTCAATGTAAAACAAGTAATTGAAGGATAGAGAAAACAAGAGAGAGAGGTCTTGAGACTTAGAGATCACCACTAAGCATCACCTTTCTATACACTCAATTCACATTTAATGAGGGGGAAAACATATATTGCAACAATAGTGAGTGTGTGTGGTTGTTTAAACAAGCATGGATGACCAATTAAGTATATATTGTCTACACAACACAATGAATAGCACAATACATCAAACTAAGTCATTAATCCTTCTTTAAGCTCACAATCCAAACATATCACATAATTAGAGAAATATACTACTTGCATTCATAAGTATAGAACATCAAACAACAAACATGGATTGTCCTCCCATTTAACAACTAAGGTGGCTACACTACATCTAAGCTAATGACATGGAAATTAATCTAATTAAACTAAGGAAGGGGCACAATCCATCAAGAAATAAGTATGAACCATCAAATAAACCACAAGAGCATTCTATTAAGTATTATGACTTGACAATCTCTAGATCTATTGCATCAACACACATAGACATGCATCAATAACACAAGAGATAAAGATAAACACATGAACATATATTCTAGCATACATAGACATATGGATAGAATAAAATGATCAATTGGAAGAATTAAACCACATAAATCATTGAATAAACAAGATCTATGTATATAAATATGTCAAAACATGTATTACAACACAAATCCCCTCAAAAATACATAAATCAAGGTAAAGAAAGCATGCTTAAGGCTAACTCTAGCCCCAAGATGATGTCTAGCCACCCATGAATGGTGTCCTCCAACCCTCAAGGGCTATCTTCATGGTAGAAGTGCTCTTCTTCTTGAGGTAGATGAAAAACCTCCCAAGAATGTGTCTCTAGCCTCCTCTTCTCTTTTCTTCCTCTCTAAGAATTGTTTCTCTCTACTCTCCATGCATATCAAGATTATCCAAGACTATGTGTAAAAGTGGCTCATATTCCTTATATAGGTAGCTCAAATGTCACACCCAATGGTCTAGGCTAGTACACAAGGGCTCCTCCAATGATTGCACAATGAGACAACTTTTAATGAGCTGGAAATATATTTTTTTTGGATTTGAGAGGGTTTGATTGATTGAACCTGTGCTGTGATCGATCGAACATGGCTGAGATCTATCAAACTTTAGTTGGATCGATCCTCCCATGGCGGCGCCTTTTTGGATAAAGACAGATCTGAGATATTTTGGGGAAAGAGACAAAAGTGGTAGGTAGGGTGGTACAACAGGATAAGATGGAATCTTTTTGATCGATCTGAGAATTGTTGGATCGATCGAACTTTGTGGGATCTTTGGATAAGGACAATAGGGCTTGGATCCATCTTGAAGAGTCTAGATCGATGAACTTTCGATCGATCAAGGTATTCTTGAGATCGATCGAACATGTTGATTTCCATACTTTGCTTCAATCTGCTTCCACTTTGCTCCTTTTTTCTATCCAGCTTGAGTTAGCTTCTTTTAAGCTCTTATTTGGCTGAATTAGCTTATTTTGGGGATAAGCACCTAAAAAGGGCAATAACACGAAATTAGTCTAAAATGGGAAAGTAAGATAGATAAATGTCTTAGAATACCTAAGCTTAAGGGGTTTAAATGCGCACTTTTCAGCGCTCATCAGTTGAATTTGACGACATGAAGGTAATGTTATTATCTTGAGTGCAATATACTTCTATCTTTGGCTATTATGTTCTCTGTCTCTCTCATACACACACACATTTTTAATGAGATTTAAAGTTCTTGGACCTCATGGTGAGGCTATTATTATACAATTAAACATACATTTCCCTTTGTTGGAAATTATTTTGACATGATTGAAGCTAATTTCTTTCATTATTTAGTTGTTCATTTTTTGCAGTTTCTGGATAGGTTAAGAATCATCGAACTCGATGAGTGTGAAAATTTGAAAAGAACCCCTAATTTGTCTGGGTTGCCATGTTTGGAGAGTTTGTCTTTTAGATGTTGTAAAAGTTTGGTTGAGGTTCACCCATCCATTGAGTATCACAAGAGGCCGGCTAGTTGATTTGCACATTAGTGTATGTGAAAATCTAATGAGTCTCACCACAAACATTTATGTGAAATCTATCAACTCCATTTTACTTGATGGGTGATCAAAACTTGATAAGTTTCCAGAGATCCAGGAAGATAGGGAATGTTTAGAGCAACTTCGTTTGGATGGAACTACAATAAAAGAATTACCTCCATTAATTAAGCATCTAAAAGGGCTTAAGGATTTATATCTAATGGACTGTAAAATGCTGGAAAGTTTGTCAAACGATATCGGTGAAATGAAGAGCTTAGAGGGTTTGTGGTTGGAAGGAAGTGGTATAAAAGATTTACCTCCATTGGTATTCAGGAACGTGAAAGGGCTAAAGAATTTAAGGCTGACATAATGCAAAATGTTTACAAGTTTGCCGAACAATATTGGTGAAATGAAGGGTAGCTTAGAGGCACTTCACTTGGATGGAACCGCAATAAAAGATTTACCTCCATCACTTGAAGATCTAACACAACTAAAAGTTTTAGATGTGACAGACTGCAAAGCGCTTGCTTGAGAACCCTATAACACAATTTCCTCAAATTGCACCTTAATAATTATGCTTTTTAAGGGGAAAACAATAAATTGATTACCACAACCTAGGATTACACAAGTAAAACAACCCCTTCCTCAAGGATGCCAAACCCTAACTTGCTCCAAGCCTTGAAACTCCTCCAATTTGAAAGCTTATGCCATCAAGATGAAAAGGAGTGAAGAGGAACAACATTTCCTCTTAAAGCTACCCCAAAAGCTCAAACTCAAGCCTAGGTTGAAATCCTAAAGTGCTCCAATGGCCTCCAAAATCACCTCATGTTGTAGATTAAGAAATACTCTACAACTTCTCTAATTAGGCCTCACTCCAAATCCAACTCCTAGGAATTTCGACAATTTCAAAGTTGTTAAATCTCTAATTTCTCATCATGGTTGTGTAGAGGATAAGGAGAGGAACAACTTTGCCTTCTTGTGCACACTCAAAATCACAATCTAAAGCCCTCAAAATGAAGCTTTCCTAAACTTATACATGGATGGAGGGTGATATATAAATAGATATAGAGAGAGAAAATTTGAGGAGGAAGATGATGAATAGAGGCCAAACATTTCATATATATATAGTCCCACACAACTTCTTGCTAATTACGTCATTTAACCCAAATTTTCATAACTAATTACTCCCTTCCTCCAAGCAACTTTCATCAAACTACACTAAGGCAATATCCCACCAAAAAAATAACAATAATGTCCTCTAACGGCCTTTCACTTAGCCCTCGCTATTCCCGTGCACTTAGAGCACCCCGGACCCACACGGGAAGCCCCCAGTCCAAAACTCAAAAAATGACCAAAATGAATCGGAGAACATTTCTAAGTGTTCTAAACTCAAAGAAATGACCGAAACATCTCTCGGAAATCAGACGGTGTGCCAACCGATGCACTGCACACAAATTGAGGTGCCAAAAAAAAGAAAATTAAAAATCAGAAAAATATCGAAAATTTTGAAAAAATCTGAGACATCACAAGTGTGCTCTCAAATAAAAATAAACTCCGATTTGAATTTTCTGAAGTAAAATAACTTTTAAAGGCTCTCTTAATTGTATGAATGGTAAAACTTTTGAAGTAAAAAAGAGTATATAGTGATGTTAGAGAGACCTAAATATACTTGGAAAACAAGTTTAAAAACTCATTTTTTTCGAAGTCTTTCCACCAAAAATGAACTACGAAATGTCCTTACCTCATTCCTTGACAAATACTCTATAACGTTCTCTTCCAACCGAAGTCACATGCTTTGACTAATACGATGTTCTTTTCGAATTGAAATAAGCTCGCACTTTGTCCAGCCTTGTCATTTCGCTTTTGACGTTGAGGCTCAAGAACAAAATATAAAATTATAAATTGATCGGACACGTTTTAACACTGAAAATTTTCAATTAATTTATATCTCACAAAAAGGACAAGCAAGGGAAGGTTTCAAGTAGTAATGACTGGGTTTCTTTCGTAGTTCGTACCCTGTAATTATTCATGTGAATGAAAGGAGTGTAAGAATGAAAACTTTAAAAGTGGTGGCCCTGTACTTCCTTTGTAAAACCATCCATCTCCACACATTTCTGAAACGCAGGACCTAGGAAATTTCTTGCCCATCACCTATAGTCAATGTGACAGAGACAAGAGCCATAAGTGGTCGGAAAAAAGCAGCCAATAACAAGAAACTGAGGAATTTTATTACATTTTGTTATCTCATACGTATATATACTCACATAGTAGCTTACAACTGTCACAGTTTCAACTTAATAATTTGAGCAGTTACCACATTAGTCACGTAATTATTCTCAATGGGTGCTGCTCTAACGCTTCAAGTGTACTCCTGCTGTCAAGCTCCACGTGCCTTCTTGCTTCTGTTTTTACTACTTATGACTTAATATTGTTGCTTTCGCGCTTCGAATCTCGAATTCGCTATGACCCTTGCTCTCACTTTATGTGACTTAGGTAATCACTTAGATGAGAAATTTTTAGATAGTTCAGGACAAAATTTGTCCTGGCCAATCATCATTGGACTAGTAAAAAAAAAAACTGAATTAAATTTATACATTTTTGATATAATTATTTACGTGTCCAATGGTTCAGGACCATGGAATAACTTCTCACACTAGATTCCTTCCATTGAGTTTGAAGGTTAGTGAAAAGTCAGTCTGGATGCCCATCCTTTAAAGCAGAGTTGAAATTGCTTTGATATCAAGCAGAAGGTAGTTTCATATATATGTGTGTTTTGGTGTGTCTAGTCTTTATTGCTCTCCATGTCTCTAGCTATAAGTAATTTGGCTCACAGATGAGCAAACTTTCATGGCTTCTTCTTCTTCTTCTTCTTCTTCTTCTTTTTCACCACTTCGATGTGAATATGACGTGTTCTTGAGTTTTAGAGGTGAAGATACTCGCAAAAACTTCATCGGCCATATTTACACGGCTCTGAATCAGAGGGGAATTAGGACCTTCAAAGATGATGAAAGGCTTGAGAGAGGGAAAACAATTTATTGGGATCTCATGAAAAATATCAATGAATCCAGAATTGCTGTGATTGTCTTCTCCAGAAACTATGCTTCTTCGTCCTGGTGCTTAGATGAACTGGTGGAGATCCTTGAGTGCAGGAGGACTAAGGGACAGATAGTTTTGCCAATCTTCTACGACGTCAAAGCATCAGAAGTTCGGAAACAGAAGAGGAGTTTCGCAGAAGCATTTAGAGAGCATGAAGAAGTTCATAAGGAGGAGATGGAGAAGGTGCAGAGATGGAGGGCTGCTTTGAAGGAAGCAGCAAGTATAAGCGGGTTGGATTTAGAAGATGCTGCAAATGGGTATATATTTATATATATATACTGCTTCTATATATGAGTTACTAATTGCTATTTTTTTGTTGGTTTGTGGTAAAAAAATTGATAGAAACTTGATCGATTTTTGATAACCATGTGAGAAAAACTCCTAAGAGGAGAGAGATTCTGCTCTTAAGAATTATTGACTAAGATTTTGTTTGACAATATTCATTGCCACAAAATAGACTCTATTCTAATCCATTATCAAGAGTTACTAATGAATGAATCCTCAAAGAGGAAGCCACACGGAGAGGTTCGAGTCCGAGCAAGACCAAAAAGGTGTCTATGCTTTACCATTCCAATAAAAAAATAATAAAAAATAAAAATAAAAAAACACTCTAAGAGTCCTTGTTGGACAATATTCATTGCAGACCCCACAAAAAACCAATTCTTGTGTGTAGCATTACTTTCGCCATAAACACATTAACAAATTTATCAAAATATATATATATATATATATTATTATTATGCATAAGCAAGAAACTCAACATTCATATGTCTTGTGGTTTGAACCCTCACCTCCCACTTTAGAAGGTAGAGAATATACTATCATATTACACTCATAGTTGTAGCACGAGTTGAGACCTCTCACTTTAGAAGGTAGAGAATATACTATTATATTACACTCATAGTAGTAGCACAAGTTTGTCAATTTTAACTACCTAGTACAATCAAATTCCTTACATTATTATATATGGCAATTACACCTAATATTTGAGCAGAGGAGTAAGGTTTTATATAAAGGATAGCATGGGTTTGTCACTAAAATTCTTGAAGATTGATAAATGTTGAAGAAGTCCCACTAGTCCGAATTGGTTTTGTTGTAGCACGCTGTTGAGTTCAATCGGTCACACTTGCATGATATGTGCCGGTCAAGAAATGGGTTGGAGACTCAAAAAATAGAGGTGGAGTTGGTTGGAGAAGGTAAGAAAATGGGTAGAAAGGATGAGTGTTGTGAGGAGAGGAAAGAGTATATATAATTTATGTGTATATAGATGTAACCTCAAAAAATGAGGAGTAACTGACGTTAGTGTTGCGAAATTAAGCACAAAAAAATTAATTAATTAATTAATTAAAGGAAAAACAGCTCAAACACACATACATACAAGAACACCGCAGATTTTTACTTGGTTCACGTAAGAACTAGGGTTGCGTCAAGGGTTGTAAGGATTTCATTATGATGATAAAAATAAAAATAAAATGACACAAGATACAAAGAATTCAGAATGAAAAAATACCCTCACACTAGGGCAACATAACAAGTACATAATATATCAAAATACCCCCAAAATATTTGGGTCGGGGGCAAGTTGTAGTTGGGCCTTGGTGTTCATTATTTATTAGGCTCCACGCTATCTATCAGTTAGGTATCTGATTGTATATTCTCTTCTTAATTCATATACAGTGAAAGTTCTCTCTGTGGAGGTAGCCTAGAGGATTGGGTGAACCTGGTTAAATATTGTGTGTTGTGCTTGATTCGTGGATGATTATACCTCCGTAGATATGTGTGATTGATGTGTGATTATGGTATGCTTCCAGTGCTTGTTCTTGAATGAAGAAGGATTTAATGTTCAACAAGTATCAAAGTTAGTCGGGGGAAGTTAATATTTCAAATAGTATGTTTACTCACTATTATTTATTTTTAAAAGTATGAAACGGATGTCAGCATTTTGGAACTGCTATTCTATCTCTAGTATTAGTAAATTGTAGTTTTTTTTGGGGCAAGTAATTAGTAAATGGTTGTTTCATCGTTATGACGATTAAACAAGTTATAATGATTAAAACTATTCACTACACCTTTTTTATACCTTTATATATTTCTCTTTCTTGTACGGTTTACTGCACTATATTTTAATGGGTTGCGTCAAAGGGTTCACTAGGAGGATAATATATATATATATATATTGGCACAAGATATAAGAGTTCAGCATAAAAAAATATTGTCGAACTAAGGCAACATAACAAGTACATAATACTTACCGGGAAAAAAAGTACATAATATACCAAAATACGGCCAAAATATTCAGGTCGGGGGAAAGTTAGAGTTGGGCCTTGGTGTACAATATTTATTAGGCTCCACGCTACCCATCATTTAATCATTTGCTTGTATATTTCTCTTCTTAATTTATATATAGTGAAAGTTCTTCTCTCCGTGGAGTATAAAGCATTTTGAATTGTTATTCTATCTCTAGTAATAGTAACTGGTGGTTTTTTTTTGGGCAAGTAATTAGTAAATGGTTGTTTCATTGTTATTTTTTATAACATACAAGTTACGATGATTAAAACTATTCACTACACCTTGTTTACACCTTTATATATTTCTCTTTCTTGTACTGTCTACTGCACTATATTTTAATGTGTTTTGTGATTTAGATTTTAATGTGCTTTGTGTTTAATAGGTACGAGGATAAGTTTATCCAACGAATTGTTCTAGAGATTTCAGAAAAATTGCAAAAAATGATATTCAGAGTTGCTGAGTATGAAGTGGGTATTGATTCACGGGCAAACAAGCTAATCATGTTGTTAAATGATGGTTTAAAGGATAAATTCTTTGTGGGGATTTGTGGAATTGGAGGAATAGGCAAGACAACTCTTGCCAAAGCCGTTTTCAACCGAATATCTCATAAATTTGAAAGAAGTTGTTTCCTTGAAAATGTGAGAGAAGAGTCAACAAAACTTGGTGGTCTAGCTAAACTACAACAAAAACTTCTCCGAGAGACCCTAATGGATAATAATTTAAGGATATCCAACTCTGACATCGGAATCAACGAGATAAAGGATAGACTTCAACATAAAAAGGTTCTTATAATTCTTGATGATGTTTGTCATGAGAAACAAGTAAAGAGTTTAGCTGGAATAGGACATGATTGGTTTGGATCAGGAAGTAGGATCATCATAACAACTAGAGATGAACGGTTATTGATGAAGTACAATGTAAAAACATACAAGGTTGAGCTATTAGATGAGAATGAAGCACTTGAACTTTTCAGTTGGCATGCATTCAAGCAGAATAATCCAGTAGAAGAGTATTGTGAACTTTCGTGTCGCATAAAGGATTATGCCAAAGGCCTTCCATTGGCTCTTCAAGTTTTGGGATCTTTTTTATGTGAAAGAAGCATACCAGAGTGGCAAAGTGAATTGGATAAGTTAAAAACTGACCCTCACAAAGAAATTCAAGATGTTCTTAGGATAAGTTATGATGGTCTTGATACAAAAGAGAAGGCTATATTCCTTGATATTGCTTGTTTCTTCAAAGGATGTGATAGAAAACTTGCAATAGATTTTTTTGAGAGCTGTGGATTTTACCCGGTCATTGGAATAAAAGTTCTCACTGAGAAGTCCCTTGTTACTATATCAGAAGATAATAAGCTCTCGATGCATGATTTGATACAAGAAATGGGTCAACAAATTGTTCGTTTAGAATCCGAAGATCCTTGAAGGCGAAGCAGATTGTGGTCTTATGAGGACATCCATAAAGTATTAACTGAAAATACGGTATGCCTTAAATATATTTTAGTTTGTTTCAGGGGTTTTCGTTTTGTGGGGGTACACTTATTTTTTTTTTGGTTGATAGGTTACCAAAAAAATCGAAGCCATTATGCTGAATGAGAGAGAATTGTCTTCAGAAGGTATTGCCTTCTTCCTGGGGGAGTTTCATGTAAGCGCTGATGCCTTCACAAAGATGAGAAACCTAAGAATACTCAAAGTCAGTGGGATGCAGCTTCTTGGTTGTCCTACAAATCTTTCTAATGAGTTAAGGTATCTTGATTGGAATGGCTACCCTGGAGACTATTTGCCATCCAATTTTCATCCAAAAAAACTTGTCCGACTACATTTGCGTCATAGCTTGATCAAAGGAATTTGGACAAATACAAAAGTAAGATTATTATTCGACACATAATATGTTTCTTTTTGTTAATAATTTACTCCAGTCAATTGAAGCTTACTTATTTTATTTTTATTTTTGTTTTTTAACAGTTACTACATATGTTAAAAGTCCTTGATCTCAGTTTCTGCGAAAATCTGCCCGAAAAAAATCCTAATTTTTCAGGGTTCCCATTTATGGAGGAATTGTATCTAGTAGGATGTACAAGTTTGGTCGAGGTTGAATTTGACGACATGAAGGTAATGTGCAATATGTTTCTGTCCTAGGCTTTTATGTTCTCTATCTCTCTCTCATACACACACATTTTTAATGAGATTAAAAGTTCTTGGACCTCATGGTGAGGCTGTTACTTTACATACATTTCCCTTTGTTGGAAATTATTTTGAGCTTTTTCATTATTTAATTGTTCGTTTTGCAGTTTCTGGATCGGTTAAAAGTCATCGAACTCGATGAGTGTGAAAATTTGAAGAGAACCCCTAATTTGTCTGGGTTGCCATGTCTGGAGAGTTTGTCTTTTGGAGGTTGTAAAAGTTTGGTTGAGATTCACCCATCCATTGAGTTTCACGAGAGGCTAGTTTATTTGTACATTAGTGTATGTGAAAATCTGACGAGCCTCACCGGAAACATTTATCTGAAATCTCTCAAATCCTTTTTACTTGATGGGTGCTCAAAACTTGATAAGTTTCCAGAGATCCAGGAAAATATGGAATGTTTAGAGCAGCTTCGTTTGGATGGAACTGCAATAAAAGATTTACCTCCATCAATTAAGCATCTAAAAGGGCTCAAGGATTTATATCTAATGGACTGTAAAATGTTGGAAAGTTTGCCAAACGATATCGGTGAAATGAAGAGCTTAGAGGGTTTGTGGTTGGAAGGAAGTGGTATAAAAGATTTACCTCCATCGCTAGTCAAGAACCTGAAAGGGCTTAAGAATTTAAGTCTGACCCAATGCAAAATGTTTACGAGTTTGCCGAACGATATTGGTGAAATGAAGGGTAGCTTAGAGACACTTCACTTGGATGGAACTGCAATAAAATATTTACCTCCATCGCTCAAAGATCTGACACAGCTAAAATTTTTAGATGTGACAGACTGCAAAGCTCTTGGAAGTTTACCGAGCAACATTGGCGAAATGGAGAGCTTATGGGATCTTAGACTGGGAGGTAGCGGTATAAGAAAATTACCATCATCCATTGCACAGTTGACTAACCTTGAAAGATTACATTGGAATAACTGCAATTTAGATGAAGAATCCCTTCTCAATCTTCCTTTGTCGTTGAGCATTTTAAATCTAAGCGGGAACAACTTTGCTAGCTTACCACCAAACTTCACTCAACTTACAAAGCTTGAACAGCTTGATTTGAATGGTTGCTTAAGACTCCAAACATTGGAGTCACTTCCGTCGTCTATACGTACAGTTAATGCAGAAGGTTGCATATCATTAGAACAGTAGTCCATTCCAAGAAATGAAGATGAAGTCAGTTCATATGATGGACAATGGATTTTCACAGAGAGCTGCAAATTGGTTGAGAATCATGGGAACAACAAACTAAAGATATACTCTTCAGAAAATATACTTCAGGTATGTGTGCGTCTGCATATCCCTCTCTCTCTCTCTCTCTCTCTAGTCCCTCAAATTTTTTTGAGTTCTGATACAAAGTACGTAAGTTTGACTACATTTATGTGAGTGGAGAATGACATCATCCCACTCACATAAAAAGTCGGATGTATCCGACTGGCTTACTATTTATCATTTTCCTCATCCTTTTTTTCCCCCTAACCAGGAGCCCTTCTAATCTAATGGCCTTTTTCCGTAGAGGAGGCTGCAAGAAAAAACATTATTATGCTTTTTATGTCGCAGGAAATTGGTAAAATCATTCTTCCAGAAAGTGAGATTCCGAGTTGGTTCAGCCATAAATGTGAGAGTGGTGAGGACACTACTCTATGCTTCAAGGGTGGATTCAAATTATTGCAGGAACCCCAAAGACATTGCTGTTTGTGCCGTTATCGGAATCAATCATGAACTACAACACACATATACACAAACAGAAACCATCAAGAGGTGTGATTTAGTTGTATTTCCTCACCGTTTTAATATATTAAGGTTGAGGGTTTTAAGTCCCACAGGAATAAAATGAGTGTGTGGATTTCTTGTCAAGGTAAAAAAATAATAATAAAAAAAAAAAAGAGAAAAAATTCTCATCTTCATTATTTTATCAAATTTTGTTCTAATATTTTATATATATTTGATTTGTATAGTGTATGAGGGAAGTTCTTATGTTAAGCCCTGGAAAGCCTGATGTCATTGTAGCTCGAGGAATGTTTTTGAGCAAAAATTCAAATAATAAAGTATTACTGTCCCAATAGCGAGGCAAGAATCATTGCCTATACCTTCGGCACGTTTCAAAACTATTGGAGATGCCGTTGGAGCAAGCATTGCTTAGCCTTCTAGTTTTGTAATTATAGTGTGAATTATGTTCTATAATAAAATGAATATTTAAATTGTTTAGTTTATAATTTGTTCTTGTTTTATTTTTCAGGTTGCAACTAGAGAAGGTTAATTCCTACTCCAAGGTTGTCATGAGGAGACATTCATTTACTGCTTGGTTGGTGACTTATGAGCTTTGGGGCATGTTACCTAACTATTGATAGTTTTGGGAATGTTCCATTTCAATTCAACCAACTATTGATAGATTTGGGAATGTTCCATTTCAATTCAGCTTGGTTTTGGTTAAATCCTGTCTTAAACATGCATACCTTCTTAATATCACTGTTGTACAATCTAGGTTACTTGTGTTCCAACAATTCCAGCATACAGATTGTGCAGTATCTCTGCCAAACATGGAATTGGAATTGGAATTAGAAAAAAATAATTCAGAAAATTGAATCAAAATTTTTTCCAATTCCAAGGCCCAATTCCAAAACTTCAGTTCCATGCCGCCTAACACAGTTGTATTATATTTGAATCATTCGGAAGAATTCGACACGTCTAAAAAGTGAGGTTTGCTTGATCAGGATATCTAAGTAGCTTCCAATTTCTCAAGGGCTAGGCTTTCTCCCTCTCTCTCTCTCTCTCTCTCTCTCTCTCTCTCTCTCACTCACTTGGATCAGGTGTATATGGAGAAAAAACTTTAATTCTCCAAGAACCCAAACCCAAATGCCATTCTTGGCATGTAAATTTGCGCACCAAGTTTTTCTCAATCTTCATACGTGGGACAACCCATTTTTCCTCTTTAAACCGTGATCAAATGTCTCACTTTCGATCCATTTCTCATTCACCAGAACAGTTTTGAGCAAGTAAATATATTACGTTGATCTACTGTCGAATGGATTTCAACATACACCCACCTCAAACCCGGACCCATTCCAATTTTAACCCAAAGTATGCTTGATCATACTTAAGTTTCCAACATAAAACTTTGAGGCTATTAGCCAAAATTTTAGTCATGCATATATAAATGGTATTACAGTAGGCTATTGGCTGTAATCAAAGAGGGTGGAAGCATTTTGGGACTTGGGAATAAAGGGGAGAATTTTCAGCATGACCATTCACAAAGGCTATAAATGGCTTTTGGCTTGCTGCTTAAACCCGAGAAGCGCGCGCGCGCGTGAAGAATTGCTGGCTTTTCAGACATCAACAACAGTTGTCGGCGATGGATGCATAATGTAATTGCATAATGAAAGCCTTCTAGACATCTCTCATGGCACAACACTCCTCAATGAAGACATTTATTCAGAAAGCAAACTTGGTTTATGCGTATTTATCATAAGCTGACTTACCTATTTGAAAGTGCAATAATACTTCTGTTGTCATGTTATGAACCACTATCAAGGGCTATTGGCTAGTGGTACTTTCTCACCATCCAAAGTAGATGATCGAGGATTCAAGTCTTACGGGACAATGGAGGGTGTATGAGTTTTTTAAGAAGCACTAACAAAGAGGACCATTCTTTAGGGCTTTTTGTTTGGCCAAAAATGGATTACGCAGGCAAGGCATTACCGCCGAAAAAAGGATTCGGGTCACATTTGGTTTAACATATACAGAGTTGCACATTAGAGAAACAAGCAACCAAAGCCAAATTCACAGGAAAACAAATATAGGAACTAAAAGGGCTTCCATGAACAGACTTCTAAACAGACAATAAATAAATAAATAGTGATTCTTGCATCTAAAAAAGTAATATTTTAGTGAACTCCATCTCATTATCACCCAGCAAAAAGCATATAAACCTCTAGTGATCATGATAGGAAGTTTTCTCTTGAATTTGGTTGCAAAAACACAATTTATTTTCTTGAAACATAATTTCAAGCCAGAAAGGAACCGCAAAGCCGGTCTTTGCTTGATAGTGGCACAGTACAGTTAATCACTTATATATAGTTACTGCCAGGTAAATATGACTTTTTATGCTTTTGAAGTTTTTCACAATCCAAGCCAACCTTTTGACCATATTCAAAAATGACAAATCTTTCTTAAAGGTTCTTGATCAACTATGGTTACGGAGGAAAGTGAGGATTAGCTGATTCACCTGGTCAGGGAATTGCTCCTGAACAAAATGGGTTCCTTCAGGCAAGTACGTTATCTCCAAATTGGGAACATAAACTTTCACCTGTCCACTCCTTATGTAGTCCCCAATTCCTGGAATTTTGAAGACATAATCTTTCTCACCCATGATCAGCAGGGCTGGGGCTTCAATTTTCGGATCTGGGACTTCAAATGGTTTACTTGATGATCTAACAAAAAAGAAAAATAATAAAAAAAAAAAAAAAAAAATGAAAGCAATATTATTAACAAACTTATTTATTAGAAAGCAGATAGTCAGAAGTCAGCTGTACAAAGTTACAAAACCAGATTAATTTCCTTCGAAACTTCATTTCTAATTGTGCCGGACAGAAGGTATGGGTGATCATTGGTCTGATGCAACCGACAACTGAAATACCGGCATCAAGCACAGGTTGCTGTGGTTTACACTGAATATACTAAAAGTGGACTACTAAGATGCACCCTGCTATTGGGTGAAATAATGGTTGCAACTCTATAACATGATACCAATGGGCCATTAGCCCAATGGTATAACCTCCCTTCCCTCAAAAAGGTTAGGAGAGGAGTTCGAGCCTGGCGTGGACAATGTGTGAGTACTTGCCTAACCAAAAAATATATATTCATAACATGATGCATCACAAACTTATGGGATTTGGATTGGTAGTAGTTATCATTGTACACAAAAAGAAAAGTAGAGGAAGATAACAGTTTCCTCATACAAAGAAGGACGAGCACCAAGAAATGGACCAAACCCATTACCTATATGGAACTTGCAGTGCGGTTCGGAATCCAGATTTCTCATACAAAGCTCCATAGATTGCAAGATCTTCCTCTGTGAACCAAGGGGGCAGAGGAGTTGATGGTTCAACCAAATCCATGATCTCCTGGTTTTCCCTGGCTATTGGTATTTCATCTTTGGAGAAGAGGATGTAGATGTTCCGCACAACCGTTTTAACATCAAGGCGACCAAAATCTGCTTCAGCTCTTCCAGGTTCCTTGAATCTCAAACCGTAGTAGCCTTCAGGGAGTCCTTTATGTAACGTACGGGGATTTGGGGGCACGAATGGCACACCCAATGTCACAACTCCCAAGACCCTCTTTGGATGGAGAACTGCGAATTGATAAGCTGGCACGGATCCAAAATCTTTACCAATAAGAAAAACCTGCATAGAATGCTACTTGACCTTAAAAAGAACCTTTGAGTTTTTGGTCAAGGTAAAGAGTGCTTGATGAGGCTTACTACATCTATAACAGACCATCCATATATAAAAAACAACCAAGGATCATTTCTTTCTTCACAATGTTTCCGTAGCAATGCAAAAGCAGAATGGCAACTTATTTTTTGTCAAGGCTATATAAGCTTATAAAGAAAAATGAGTTAATGACCAAATTAATAGTATTGTTTAGGGATGAGTGATTTAGAAATATTTCATTGATAATGTAAGAGTCATCCCAAATATGAAGGCACTACAAACTACCACAAACCATCTATTAAGGTTTGCAACTGGAAGGTTGATAAATCCCAAAACCGTCAAGATGTCTAAGCAATGAATTTATCAAATCTTCAAACCATGGACACGAGTACTAAGTTAAATTTTCATATTTTTTAACATTCTTATTTTCTGAGTAAAATATTATCTCTCACTTACTTAGAGTAAAAGGAACAAAATGAAGGAGTTTCACGTAAAATTATATAAAAATTTAGATTATCAAATATGCTTGTTATGTGTATGTCCAACCATATGTGTTAGTTATGTATAGAATACCCATGTCAAATTTTCATGTCTTAGACACAGGTACTTCATGTATTTTTACAAAATGAAAACATAGAAATATCTATCCATATTACCTAACTCATAATAAAGCCGGTGATCGAAATGATGCTGGAATAAAATCCACAAAACTTGGATTCATAAACATTCTATTTGCATGAACTACGACACAAAGAAGCACATATAGCACACCAGAAGGAACATCATGTATTGATGTACCAAATCAAAACAGCTGTTTGCTGATTAAATCTTCAAAGATGAATCTAAATAATCTACAATTACAATATAGATATTGATTTTATTGTGCCTTATTATATTGAATTTCCACCGAGAAATTTTGTTTCCTTTTCTAATTATTGTACCATATTTTATCTTTCCAGAATCTCTTGAAGATTTTAGGAGATTTTCTTTCCTTTTCTATTTAGGGAACTCTATATTTATTCACGTCTCTTGTACAAAATTGTAGATAAATGAATATTTTTTCTTCCCCAATTTTCTAATATGGTATCAGAGCATTAGGTGTTTTTTCTTTTCAAAATTACGTTTGCCCTCATGGCAACGATTCCTTCAAATTTTGAGGAGCAGCAACAAGCTTCTTCTCAAGTTATGGCCATGTCTTCTTCCCAGGTTAGTGACCCTTTTCAAAACCCTTATGTTTTACACCATTCAGACAATCCAACTGTTGTTCTTGTCTCTCCTCTCCTTAATGGAGATAACTACAATACATGGTTCCGCGCGATGCATATGGCCTTGCGCACAAAAAATAAGCTTGGATTTGTTGATGGTACAATTCCTATGCCAGACCCATCTTCTTCAACCTATGAGCAATGGGTTCGAGTGAACGATATGGTAATCTCCTAGATACTTCACTCGATGGTGCCGGAACTTGCTGCGAGTATTATTTATTCCGAGTCTGCTCAAGAAATTTGGAGCGATTTGAAGGAGCGTTTTTCTCAACCTAATAGTTCTAAGATTTTATAAATCAAGCGGGGTATTTCTGAATGCAAACAAAATAATCTTTCTGCGACTGCTTATTATACTCGATTGAAGGCTCTCTAGGATGAACTAGCATCATATGTGATGCTTCCTACTTGCTCATGTGGTGCAGCCAAAGCCATAAATGATCATCGTCTTCAAGATCATGCGATGCAATTTTTGTAGGGACTCCATGACTCATATGCACAATTTTGGAGTCAAATCCTATTACGGGAACCATTACCGCCTGTGAATAAGATTTATTCAAGAAAAGCAACGCTCTCTTCCATTACACACTCTCAATCTCCATGATGCTTCAGCTCTAGCCACATCTCCTGCACCAAATCAGACTACACGTCCCACTACCTCAACCTACAATCGTGGCAGTGGCGGAGGTACTGTTTGTGGTAAAAATCGTGGGGGGTCAAGGGCACGATCACATTGTGACCACTGTGGTTGTGACGGTCATACGATTGCAACTTGCTACAAATTACATGGGTTCCCACAACGTTCTAACGATGGTCCTGCTGGGACATCTCGTCCTTTGGCACATGGGTTTGCTGCTTCATCCGACCAATCCCAACCTCTCTTTATATCTTCAGCTCCTGTTATCACACTAGCGCCTCAAAGCAACAACACACCAGCGCCTCAAAGTAACAGTTCTCCATTTTTAGCATCACCATCAATTTCGCAGGAGCAATACAATCAAATTTTAGCAATTTTGCAACAAGGTAGACATGACCATTCTACAAATTTAGCAGGTATTGCCCTCACATCTCTTTTTGATAATTCTTGGATTATTGGCAGTGGGGCTACAAATCATGTGTTCCTCGCCACATTTTTTTCAGTCCTTTACTAAAAATACATCTTTGTCTTGGGTACAATTACCTGATGGCTCTAATGCGCCAGTTACGCAAACTGGTAGTGTTTCAGTTAATCCTTCCTTTCATTTAGCTAATGTTTTCCTTGTTCCCTCATTTAAGTTCAATTTGATGTCCGTTTCTCAAATAACAAAATCTCTTAATTGTGCTATTATTTTTCTTCCAGACCATTGCATTTTGCAGGACCTGTCATCGAGGAGAACGATTGGAGTGAGTAACTGCTGGAATGGTCTTTATTATCTATCCCAACCTAGTAGTCTTTATGCAACAGTGAAACCCACCTTGATGTTTGGCATTGGCGATTGGGACATGCTTCAAATGATTGTTTAGTTTCAATTTCTGCTTTAGACTCTTCTGTCACTGCTTCCAACAAATCCCTCTGTGATGTATGTCCTTTGGCAAAACATACAAGAATTCCTTTCCGTTAAGTAATACAAAAACAAAATTTCCTTTTGAATTGGTTCATTGTGATATTTGGGGTGCTTTTGCTATTCCTAGTATTTCAGGTGCACATTATTTTTTGACTATTGTTGATGATTTTAGTTGTTGCACTTGGTTGTTTTAATAAAGCACAAATCTGAAACTCAATCACATTTAAAGCCCTCCATTGCTATGGTTGCCAATCAATATCATTCTCGGGTTAAAAGAGGCCAGACCAATAATCTTATAGGGTTCTTATTGGAAGAGTTAAAAAATATATTTTCTGTTAAGTCTATTCGAACCGATAACGGGACAGAATTTTTATCACATGAATTACAGAGTTTTTTTGAGTCCCGTGGGATTGTTCACTAGCATAGTTGTGTTGCAACTCTACAACAAAATGGTGTTGAGGAGCGAAAGCATCGACATCTATTCCTTCGTCAGTTTTAAATGGAAAAACTCCACGAGGTATTACTAAGAGCACATCCTTTGTAGTCTCATCTTCGAGTTTTGAGTCCCGTGGGATTTTTCACGACCAATTCGTGATCGCCGAACCCCACTCTACTTGCGGGATTATATTTGTAACAATGTGACCTCAGTAGATTGCCCGCAACAATCAACTTCTCATGGGTCAGGTACACTTTATCCTCTTTCACAAGTTCTTTCATATAATCGTTTGTCTTCTTCACATTCAGCTTTTCTTAATTCTCTTGATTCATGTATTGAGCCAACATCTTTCTCACAAGCTGTTAAGATCCCAAAATGGTGAAAGGCTAAAGAGGCAGAAATTAAAGCGTTGGAGGAAAATGACACTTGAAAGGTTACAACTTTGCCTCCTCACAAAAAAAAACCCGTTGGTAGCAAATGGGTCTACAAAATCAAGTATCATCTGACTATAGAGAGATATAAAGCTCGCCTCATAGCCAAAGGATTTACACAAACTGAAGCCATTGATTATAATGAAACATTTGCCCCTGTGGCAAAAATGATCATTGACCGGTATTTTTTGGCCATTGCTTCCATCAAAGGGTGGTCTCCACATCAACTTGATGTTAATAATGTTTTGCTTCATGGAGACTTAAATGAAGAAGTATATATGAAAATTCCTCCAAGTTATCACAGGCAGGGGGAGAATCGAGTTTGTCGATTGAACAAGTCTTTATATGGGCTCAAAAAAGCGAGCCGCAATTGGTTCGCTAAATTTTCTCAATATTTGTGCTTTGCCGACTACTCTCAGTCTAGAGCTGATTATTCCTTAGTTTTTAAACATGATGATTATCGCGGTTCTACATTTGTTTTAGTCTCTGTTGATGATATTTTGATTGGTGGTGATAATACAGATGAAATTAAAGCTCTAAAGGCTATGTTGAATGCTCAGTTCCGTATCAAAGATCTTGGGTTTCCAAAATATTTTCTTGGTATTGAAATTGTTCGTTCCTCACGTGGTATTTTTCTTTGTCAAAGGAAGTACACCTTGGACATTTTGACTGACATGGGTATGTTGGGTTGTCGGTCTGCTCGCACACCTATGGAACAAAATCTAAGTTGAGTGATGTTGACGGAAATCCCTTGCCTGATCCAATCATTTATCGCCGGCTTACAGGCTGCCTTATTTATTTGACAATTACACACCCAAATACAGATATTCTTTTTGCTGTAAATATCCTCAGTCAATTTATGCAAGCTCCACGGAAACCTCACTACGATGCTTCTCTACGTCTTTTACATTATCTGGAAGGTTGTCTGGGTAAGGGTATCTTATTGTCTTCTATGAGTTCTCTTCAACTTATAGCTTATGCGGACTCTGATTAGGCTAGTTGCCCAATTACACACCAGTCTACAAGTGGATATTGCATTTTTCTTGGTTCAAGTCCAATCTCTTGGAGGACTAAAAAACAACATCTTGTTTCACGTTCATCTGCTGAAGCTGAATATCATGCCATGGCTCAAGCAACATCTGAGCTCCAGGCTAACTTTTCTTTTGGCTGATTTTGGGGTCACTTCACCGACATCTACCTTATTTTGTGACAATCAAGCCGCTCTTCATATTGCTGCCAACCCCGTCTTTCATGAGCGCACAAAGCATATTGAATTGGATTGCCATTTCATTCATGAAAAAATTCAACGTGGGTTGATTCAAACAGCTTATTTACATTCATCGAAGCAGCTTGCTGATATCTTTACCAAGCAGTTAGAAAGTGAACATTTTCAAAGTATTCTTTGCAAGTTGGGTATGATTGTTATTCGTGCTCCAACTTGCGGGGGAGTATTGAGTCTTAATCTTCTCCGAGTCCTAAGAAAGAATTTCCACCGAAGAAATTTTGTTTTCTTTTATAATTATTGTACCATATTATATCTTTTTAGAATTCTCTTGCAGATTTTAGGAGATTTTCTTTCCTTTTCTATTTAGGAAACTCTGTACTTATTCATGTCTCTTGTACAAAATTGTAGATGAATGAATATTTTTTCTTCCCCAATTTTTTAATAGATTTTAAATGAAAAGTTGAGCCTCATAGAACCAAAAATTCAAAAATTAAAGAAATCTGAAACACCCCTTAATATTTCATCCCTATTAAAAAACAAAACTTTGTACTTGATTTTTTCTTCTAGAGAAATTTAAAGCATCTAATTGATAAATTCAGCTTAAATTCTCTATAATCAACAAAAAGTGCACCACAATAAATAAAACTAAATCCTACACAAGGTTTTATAAATACATATAATACAAAAAATAAAAATAAAAACAAAAACAAAACAAAAAAGAAACAAACAAAAAAACAATCAAAAAAGAAACAACAAAATCTGACTACCTTATATTGGTTACAATTTTGGACCCCAAATAATATATATATATATATATTTATTTATTTATTTATTTATATTTGGGAAAGAAAAAATCATGGACGATACGGTCATTCCACAATAAAATTTGAGTGCATTTATCGCATCCCAATTTAAAATGATAAAACACCAGCTAATATTTAAACTGCAAATTTGAGAAGTGGGGAAGAGTTGGGACTTGGTACCTTGGGAATGCCTAAAGCGTCAATAATGGCAAGTAAGTCGGTGGTGACGTCAGACATCGATGCCTTCTCGGGTTCGGGCGGTGGATCGGATAGTCCGTAGCCTCTGCAATCGGGTGCGAGGGCTCTGAAGCCGGCATTGGCTACGGCAATCATCTGGTAGCGCCAAGAGTACCATATCTCCGGGAATCCGTGCAGGAACACCACCACCGATTGCCCAGTTCCGATCTCGGCAACGTGGAGCTTCAGACCATTCACGTCGACATACTTGTGCTGTATTGGATCCATTCAATTCAATTATATATAGAGAGAGAGAAAAAGATCAGCATGTTTGTTTTTAGAAGGTAGGTGACTCTTTGTTTTGATCACCGAGCATTTTGTAATGTCTTATAAAGAGACGAATTCCCATTTGAGTTTAGTCTTCCCCATTTACCTATTCCACACACGTACTGAACTCTTATTTGTCACACTTCGTATCTAAATACTATTTTAAACTTTTTATCTAATTACTTTATTGGCAAAAAAAAAAAAAAAACAGCCTTGAACTACAAGAGTGAACAAATCAGTACTACAACTATTCAAATCGTACCAAAGGGTCAAATGGTCAAAGGAGAGGTTGAGAGTTTGAATCTCGGTAAAGGTACACCGAGGTATGGTGTGTGCTTATTTGCTTTAACATCCTAAATAAATAAAAACTATCCAATTCGTGCAAATTTACCCCTGAAAGTCAACACCGACAACTTTCCGGCCCACAAGTGCAGCACGTGACCTGTCCTTTTCTTTTAATATCTAAATTGCCCTGCAATATGACCATTGTAGCCCTTTTGCCTATAAATGAACCCATTTGTTCATTTGTTGCTTCTTCCATCCTCTAATTTGCTCCACCTCTACACCAAACTGTAATATTTTCATTTTTCACCATTTTTCATTTTTTGTTTTTGCAAGAACATTTTTCGTCTTTCTCGTTTTGTGTACCGAACACCGCGAAGTGTGGCGGTTGTGTCCGAAAGTTGGTTGGGGTGTTTCATTGAGTTAGGACTCCTCGAAATGTAAGGTTTATCAATTTTGTATTTTTTTCGTATTTTGGGCCGAACGGTCTCTTATGGGGCCCACTACCAGAATTGTTACATACAGGGATTTTAGTTGGGTCCATTTGCATACCATTCATTTTATTCAATGTGTTTTATGTGGATTTTATATAGTTTGTGTACATATAAATATGTGTGGTAAAATAATTAAAATAAAAGTCAAAGGTTTTTTTGTTAAAGTGGTGAGACCCACCACTTACATTGTTGTAATGGTCAAGAGACCATTTTTGGTCTCAAAATTCTCTCTCTCTCTCCCCCGTAAGCCTCCTTCTCCCTTACTTTTCTCTTCTTTTTCTTTTCTCTTTTTTTTATCTCAAAACTTCAACATTTGATTTCTTCCTTAATTGTTGGAATTTTTAGGTGTTGTTTGCGGCAAAACGAAAAGCACGACAAGATTTACTCATTGATGTAAGTAATTCATCATTTGGTGCATCATAGGAATTTTGAATTTTGGACCCATTTTGGGGGTTTTCTTCCTCCTTGAAGGGTGTTTAATTCATAATTTCTTGGATTTTAGTGAATTATTCTTGTATAAATTGTATTCTAGCATGCCTATTTTGTATAAATTCTTGCAAAATTGTTTAAATGTTGTATATGGAAAATTTAATTATGTGTAGATAGATGTGTGGTGATTCAAGCATGTTTATGTGGACTAGAATTCATGTTTTATATGTTTGCCATGCTAGATTATTATTAAATGAAAGTATGTTGTATTTTTGTAGGAATTCTTGTAAAGCTTGCTAGTGGATTAAGTTGAATTAGTTGTGAAATGATAAATTGCGGCATGAAGCATCCATGCACTTCATTGGGAGGAAATGGGAATGATGTTTTGGAAGGAAATGAAAAAGGGGATTTTGGAAAAAGTTTTGACAAAGGATTTTTGTGAAAAACCCAGACTCCAAGGAGGTACCGAGGGTTTGTAGCATTAATGTAACCTAGAGGGAACTAGGGAAATCACCCTAGCGTGGTTGAGCTATCTGAACCCCAAATGACACCGCGGGGTTACTAAGGTTCAGGGATAATAGTCAATCCTTCTCTCATGTCGCCGAGGAGTCAACGAGGAATGAGTTATGTTAACGGTTTGAAAAATGATGGATTGGATTTAAAAAAAAAAAAAAAAAAAAGAAAAGAAAAGAAAAGAAATGGGGAGCGACATACGTGGCATTGCATGTCATGGCATGAATTTGTTTTCTTATGACTTGAACTTGTATTGTATTGTTTCCTCGACATAGCATGATCCCGTTGCCTTAATTTATTTCTATTCATTGTTTGGATTCACAGGGTTACAAGAGGTGTGTCTTAAGCACCACCTGCTTAGCAATTTGCTCACCCCTTATATTTAACATTTTCAGGTCATAGAAATAAAGTGGCGGATGATGTTCCACCACAAGATCATTTTGTTGTTTTTGTATCTAAGTCTCACTATTTTTTTTGTTAAACTTAGCATATTGTATTATGTACTGAGATTTATGGACTCTTGTTATTGTAATTATATTCATGGCTGTAACTTTAATATAAGTTGTTTAAACGTTGTAAGGCATGGACTTTTGATCTTAACCATATTTTTGGGACTCTAATTATGATATTTAGATTGAATGGTATGTGGTTGTTCCACCATGAGATGAACTATGTTGAGGCATAATGAATGGATGAAAGGAATGTTGAAATGTATTATTTGCATTGTGTGTTGGGACATGTTAGATAAGTTTTGAAGGTCCAAGAAAGATCATTACATTTTTATGCATTTAAGCAGGTTGTTGTAGGACCCTTTTTAGCAGAGGTCATACTGAATTTTTTTTATTTTATAATTGGTATCATTTTAGAGTCGTTACACAAACACTCAAACAAAGTTAAAGAACTTAAGGTAAGATCTATATATATATATATATAATCATATATAATGTGTGTGTGTATTTCTGTATTTTATATATGTATGTGTGTGTGTGCATGTGTGTATTTTTGTACTTTATATATATATATATATTATCATATATAATGTAGTATATTTTACTGGATAATACATGTCTCTCTATATATGCTTACTATTAATTTTATTTTTTTAAGTTTTTTAAAATTATCTTATCTAATGTAGCATATTTACTGGCACATATATGTCTATATATAAGTGTGTGTGTGTGTGTGTGTGTGTGTGTGTTTGTTTACTCTTTAATTTATTATTTTTTAAGTTAGATAGTGAATATGAATTTATGAAGTTGTATAAATTGTTTGTAGGCATATAGAGCCATCCATGACCACAAAAAGCTCAAATAATGTACCATATCGTGGTAGAATGCATGAAGATTTGTATTGCTACTGTGAAGTAAAATCTCCTTTGAGAAGAGCAACAACTGTTGCGAATTTAAGGCGAAGGTTCTATGGATGTGGAAGCTATTCGATGCGTTGTTGTGGGTTCTTGAGATGGATAGATCCCTAACATAATGAAGATGAAAGAGAACTTAATTGGAGCAGAAATGGAAAGAGAGGTAGCTATGAGGACAATATCATGTTTGAGGGAAAAAGTTGCGATGAAAAATTTGGATATGAACTTGGAAGTGGAACCTTTACCAATTAATGATAGTATCAACTTTGTGGGTGCACAACCTTTAGCAAGTAGAATGACTAGAAACACTGTAATTACAAATTTCAATGTTTTCATGTTAGGATTTATATCATGTGGTATTATGATGTTAATTGTGTGATTTGTTAATAGAATGTAATGTAATAAATATAATTGGAAGTTTTTTTTTTTTTCATCACGTACTAAGACATTGCTAATAGTATGATACTTTAACACACACAGACAAAATATATATGCACATTGTCAACTAAATCACATGACCACACACTTTATATTTCATCTCATGCCATTAAATAAGCAGTAACACTAAGTGCTCAGTAACATCACTAAAAAACAATAACAGAGTTGCACCAACCTGAGAAAAACACCACCATATAATAGTTTTATCACTGCACCAACCTAGTAACATCACAAAATCCTTACTACACCAACCTACCAACATCATAAAATCCTTACTACACCAACCTAGCAGCATCATAAAGTCCTCACTGCACCAACATAGTAGTAACACAATTGTAATAAAAGAACACAACTGCACCAAGTTCATAAAAATAAGAAAAGCCACACAAAAGCAAATGCATCACCCTGTCATAATTAATAAACCATTATAGCATAAGAAACATAAACCATTGTACCATCACAAACCAAAACCATTGTACCATCACAGACCAAAACATACCAAAAAAATAAAAAGTGTTTCTTTCTATAACATAGTTTATGTACCATAAACACACCAAAAGCTGTATGTTGCCATCTAATCCAAAACTTACCAACGGCTATATGCTATCATATAATCCAAAACACAGCAAAAAAACAAAAGGTGTTTCTTTCCATAAAATCCATCTGCTGCATACTCTAATCCCAATGGTGCCTAAAGTCTTGGGTCCATTATAGTAGGTCTGCCAAAAGAAAAGATTAGCAATATTGGAATTACACTAAGATAATGATTCTTTCTTCTATGGACATCAATTTTAAAATATATACCTTCCTAATGATGATGATACTTGGTTACTCCACAAAACATTCAGATCAACTGATGAGGACTCTAGATAAATTGTTCAACATATTCCCATACCTTGACGGTATTGTAATCACCTAAGTAATAAAAAGATAAATATTAGTACAATGGTGAAATCATAATAAACTATAAGAACATACAGTAATTTAAACACTATACCTCTTGTAGTTGCCTTTCAGTAGCAGTTATAACCCTTCCATTTCCAGCCCATCTTCCTCTTGCACCACCTCCAACTCTTCTTCCTCTTGTACCACCTCTAGCCCCTATTCCTCTTGCACCACCTCCAACTCCTCTTCCTCTTGCATCATCCCTTTTATTTTGTATATCTATATTGTCTGGCAGTACACCAGGTAGACCAGAAACAACAGACAGATGAGGTCTACCTCATTTACCTCTAGCTTGACCTTTTGTCTTAGGTATTGCCTCAGTTTCCTTGCAAGTTCTAGTGTTGTGGGCTGTCTCCCCACATTTTTCACACTTTAGATGTTTCCTTTTCTACTAGGTACACCAGGTTTACTGTGACAGCCCGAATTTCAAACAACCTGGTGCATCAGCGAGTAATCTGTAACCTGACCTGATATCGAGTCCGAAATGCAAAAGAAAGAAAGGATAAGAGTCTTCAAAGGTAGACCTTACCTCTAAGATAATAGAATGACCTTCAAAGAAGTCACGAACTCAAAAAAAAATCAATGATTTCTAAAGCAAAACAACAGAGAAAGTCACTAGAGATGAATAGCACCTCTAGGACGA